TTCCATATCTGGTCTTGACTTTCATCTATAATAACTCTGTTCTTGAGATTAAGAAAGGACAGACAGTAGACATTAGTGGGAATTTACAGATATGTAATTTGAAAATTGCAGCCAAAAATAAGTGTTTGCTAAATTAGCATTAGATCCCCAACTCTGAAACTGAGGCAAAAAGTCTTGGAAAAGTTTTATTTATACATATTTTGAGCTACACTAAACCTATCAAGTACAGTGGTGCCTCGTACAACGTACTTAATCCGTTCCAGGTGCACGTCCGTTAAGTGAAACGTCCGTTATACGAAATGCATTTTTCCATAGAAATACATGTTAAAACATATAATTCGTTCCGCAGCATAAAATAACCTTACTGTACCATAAAAAATGAAAATGGAGCAGACACCAATTATGCCGGGTAGTCAGATGTTGCGAGGAGGAGGTGGAAGAACACTTTCTTTACACATTCATACAGATACAGACTTTTTATACATTGCAGCGGGTCTTTTTTTATTGTTTTTTTAATCGGAGTCAGATTCAGGAGAGGCTATCGGAACTTGCAGGGTCAACTTCTCTTGTTCCATCCTTTGTTTTTTGCCTGCTGGCTTCTTGAAAAACATGACCAAGGTGATCTGTTTTTCTTTCTTCTTTAACACCTGTCGGAAATGACGGACAAAGGTGTCATCGTAGAGATCATTGATCCTGTTGGCCTCATCTCTGTTTGGATAATGAGTGTTGGTAAACTCCTGAACCTCTTTCCATTCGACAAGAAAGTTCCTGATGATTTCTTGCTTTGTTTCAATTGAAATCACCTTTCTGTTTTTTTAGAAGCCATGATGCATTATAAATGACTTAACTTGCCAGATTATATGATACGAATAATTCTTTATTAATTAAGATCACTAAACACTTCTACGAGCTACTCTCGCTCCGTTTGTTTTTTACAACCTCTTTTCGTCCCGCCACCTCGGCATCTACACAATTACATTTCGTTTATTTGAATCGTCAACATATATTACATTACATTTAATGTTTATTTAAATCATCAACATATATTACATTACATTTCTACTTCAGATATACTAATAATACATTCTAATAATACTAATATATCCTAAAAATAGCAGATTGTCATTGGCAACGGCAAAAGAGTGGAAACATCATTCGCACTTGTTCGAAGAAAGTCCATTGTTCGTCTCACGTAACTGCCGAACGGAAAGTCCGTTGTTCGCAGCAAGTCCGTTGCTCGAGTCACGTAACGGTCAAACAGAAAGTCCGTTATTCGCAGCGTCCGTTATTCGAGGCGTACGTTATACGAGGCACCACTGTATTTTATTGGAACTCACTTTATATTTAAATATATCAAATGTTCAGATCCCACAGATCCATTTTCAGGAAAATATTTACAATAATAAATTAGTAATTTTTGTCAGTATAACAGAATATGACAATTTCAACAATGTTTTGTATATTCTTAACTGTTAACAATTGAGGGATTTGGTAAAAAATGGCATTTTTTGATGATATGAAACCATGCTTTGCAATTCGTTTATGCTTCTAACACAATAAAGTGCTATAAATTAAGACACTTGGCGGGTTGTCTCATCTTTATTTAGTTGATAACAACTAAATAAAGATGAGACAACCCGCCAAGTGTCTTAATTTATAGCACTTTATTGTGTTAGAAGCATAAAAAAATGGCATATTCCACATTAGAAAGTTTTTTGAGGAAAAAAGGATTTGTTTCAATTCAACAGCACTTTAATATGCAATGTTTTATTAATGTGGTTGTACAACCCATATGGTTTTGCAACTAAGTCATGAAAGTTTCTTAGAAGATACATTGATGCACAAATCCAAATTTATTAATAACTACTTTTTAGTAGTTTTGCAAAATACATTGTTTTTCCACAAAGTCCTTCAAATTCACAGTAGTCCTAGTTTGTAAGTTGTTTTTATGCATGTTTGTTTATTTTAGTTGCATTGGTCCTCTTAGGGAACAAGTCAACTACTTGTTAGCAAAACTTGTGGACAAGCAACTACTGATTAGTTAGATTTGTTAGGCTGGTAGGAAGTTTTGGGCTATAGTAAAGTGTTTTGAAATTTGAAATAAATATATTATATATATATATTTCAAAAGGTACATTTCTTAATGAAAGTAAGAAAACAATTTATGTATTTTGTTAAAAGTCTATGACATGATAATATTCTTATACTTAAATCACAAATGAGAAATGCAAAATAATAAAATAAATAAACAATTGGTATTCCCATACTTCATGCTCTATTGTATGAATTAAAAAAAAAAAAGAATTATAATCTTTTCCATCAAATCTCAATCATCTAGCTTCATATAAAACAATAATATACTAGAATCAAAATAACACTAACTACATTGTAGTTAGCTGGGGCCAATTATGCCTCTGTGGACAAGATAGTTATTTGCCACCCCTTTTAAATATAGGCACATGTAACTTTTAATTGAAAGATCTGATGCTCAGACCTAACTATTTTTAAAAAGTAAACTAATCAATTATTTGAAATTAAGAATGTTTTATTATTTTTATTTTCTTTTGCCAATTTTGCTGCCCCTTGTAATCTGTCTCTCTGGATACTGCCGAACCTTGCCCACCTCTGTATCAGCCCCCTATAGTTAGCATTATTTTGGTTTTGTTTGGAACATGAGTGTGGTATCACATATGATGTTTCTTTATTTTGTACTATATTTTGATTACTGAGTGAGTTTGTTTTGGTTTTTGTTATGAAGATTCCTATACAAAACACTAGTAAAAGAGAAAAAAAACAGCTAATTAAAAAAACCAAGGATATAATTCTTAAGAGTAACATTTTCAAGTCTTTATTTTGACCAGTTTCAGATCTGCTCTTTCAATAAGAATGCAGAATAGATGTGATGTTCTATGTCTTAAATATTTAAATTTGTAACAGTTTTTTTTATATCAGTTTTATATTTTAAACAGTTTTTTTATATCATAAAATCAAAGATAAAAATACATGAAAATATAACTTAAAAATTATAAAATACAAAAACTACTGATTATTTTATATGTCAGTATGCTTAACATGTCCAATAACCAAATCAATATTTCAGAGATATGTGAACTTCATGTTTGTTTATAACACTTGTTATTTCTTTTGAAATAATAAATATATAACTGCTGTATAATTCTGAATGGTGGAGCAAAGTTATGTTTCCTAATTATGCAAGGATGTTTACAGAAGATTTTTACATTTTGATCAAAGCCCACTGAGCTATAGATGTACTAGTCATGGTATTAGGTTTATTAATTGATGCATAATGTCCATTCATTCTTTTGTAGAAATTTCTTAAGTTAGGTCCTATATAGTAAAAGTTTTCTTGTTCCTTAAGAAGTTACACTATGTTAGACCCCAGTTTTGTCTTCTATTCCACAAGCTTCTCTATCATTTCTTAATAGAATGCATAACAGAAGGCATGCATTTCACTACCAATTGATATTATGTATTTTTGGTGTGTCTCTGGAACAATTTATGTAGGAAGCAACCAGTGATATTTAATTGTTGCAGTTACATGTTTTTAATACTTTAATGCAACCACCACTACACATTAAGATTCCTGTATATTATTGTTTTAAATGGAACTAGATCATTGGGATCTGATAGAAGATCATTTTAATTATAATTTTCTATTTTCAATTTAGCATCTATTGTAATTAATTACAATACCACTTGAAAATTTGAAATGGGAACGGTACAGGAATACCATCCGAACACTCTCAAAAGCAGAAACCATTGATTAAAAACACTTCACTACTTATACTTATTCCAGAACATAAAATTTAATGAACGCACAAATGTTTTTAGCTACTTTAAGGGAAGCTGAGTAAGAGAGCTGTTTTGTACATCAAACAAGATACAGTAGAACCTCGAAAACTCGACCTAATGTGGACCGAAGGGTGGCCGAGTTTGTGAAAATGCCGAGTTATCGGGAATGGGGTTAAAAAAAATAAGTACGAGTATTTCCTCAGAAAATACTGTACTGTACTTGTACAGTATTTACTTGTACAGAATATAACAGAGAATAAACTGCCCAAATACCCTTAAACAAAGGAAAAGTACGTCCTTTATGAAGGCATAGAGCCACTACATGAAAATGAAAATTAATGAATACACTGTGTACAGTAATTTACCTGATAAGACAGACCTCAGAAAAATACTTTATGAGAGCTTTTATACTTTTATAAAGCTGTCTATAATGAAAATTAATTAACTAAGGATTTTTTCGCCCTGCCAAGGTGTGGACCAGTTATCCGGAGTGCTAAGTTATCGAGGGACGAGTTTTCGAGGTTCTACTGTACAAGTTTTTAAATACAGTACTTTGTGTCTTGTTTGATGCACAGACTGGTGCCTCATCAGACAAAGGCTCCTTAAGGTGGCAGAAAATGTTTGTGTTCATTAAATTTTACACGCTGGAGTAAGTATAAGTGGTGTGAAGTGTTTTTAATGGAAATACTTCTAAGACTTACTTTCTATGTGGGTAAAATACCCACACAAATTAACAACAACAAAGAACGCTCTGCTAAATATTTGTATTTCTCAGATTCATAACCGTGTGCCTATTTTTGCACTTCTGTATATTATACATCCGTGTTCATTTGTGATATATTTATGAACCATTTTTAAAAACCTACCTAAAATTCATGCTCAACAATTAATCAAATTAAAAATTCCATTATATTATTTGAATAGTTTGAAAATTTCTCAAAATTAACTCATTTTTGACGGATTATTATTATTTATAGAAGTTCTAAACTGTTAGCATTATGAAGGTAGTAATTGTAATTGTTTACTGAACATAGATTTAGTAATCTTGTTAGTCAATAATATTTTTAAATTATTTAAAATAAAAAAAAAACAAAGTAAAACCTTCCATTTTTTGCTGACGCATCTCGAGCGTGTAGCAGAGATGAAATAAAATACCAAAGCACCAATTACACACGAATAGAACCTACCTTATCTCTTCCTTCATATAGTTTATAATGTATATCTTCTGTCTGCATTATATATTTAAAGTAAAGAAAGGGAATTTCGACAAACTTCCCTCAGCAACATCATCCAATAACAACGTGTCAATGTTTACTTCTTCATGGAAGCCATTGACGATGACGCAATCGACGATTAGTCAATTTCAATGACGTCAGTAATAAAAATTAATTTAAACATTTTATAAGTAATATTATTTTATTTTTAAATGTAATTAAAATTATTTTACATTCAGACTAGAAGAATTGAATAAAGTAGTCATTATTAATTAATTAGCTAGTGCTTTTTTTTTTTAACTGTTTCCGCCCTGTGGGCACTAAGAGGGCCTCTTTTTGCAAGCCTATTATGGGTTCGGCCAGGCCCACAATGGGGCTGCCGGGTGGTGAGGGACGAGGCCCGACATATCCGAACGGACCACCCCCCGAAAAATTCCTGGGGATTTTTCGACCCGTTCGGATTCGAACCCGGGTCCCCCAGAGAGGTAGGCTGCCACCTTGACCGCTCGGCCATCCGGC